CCACCTATGAATAGAAAAGAAATTCAAAGACATTTATCTGAATGAATTTATTAAGACAATAAATGTATATTTTTTATTACCAAAACTTTAGGGAGCATATTCATTTTTTCTTAATGTGAGTGCCCATAGGCATACAGAAAATTACCCAATCTTGAACAAATGCTCATTCAGTTGTCATAATAATTTAAATAGAATAACTAATTGAATGGTCTTATTGTAATTGGAAATGCATAAATTGATGAGACAAGACAGTATTTGACAATAGAGTTGTTCAGAAATAAAGTATTATGTATGCTGTTTCTTAGGGAAATGACAGCTTGAGTAACCAAACCTTATCTTAAGGTGAGGCATACAGACAGTACCAAGGCAGACTGTAGATTGGGACAGGGCGGACAGTCTTTTCAGACAGGGCAGGATTAAATTTGATTAGGTTTTCATAATAAATTAAAACCCATAACTGGTATTGTTTACATATATATTTTTGTTGTCTAGTGCAGGAAATTTTCTCATATTTTCATATGTCATAATGTACTTGTTTTACATTTCTCTAATTTTAGATATCAGAGACTATGTTAAATATATAGAAAAAGCTGTTGCAACAAAGGAGCCACGTTTTATGTCACGGGTAGCCAGAGGGATAAGTTCAGTGAGACATAGATTGAATAATAATGTTTTACGAAGACTTCTTCAGGGTTACATTCAGTCGCAGTCCCAGGTGGCAGTCAGGGATGAATTGTTATCATTTCTTGACAAGGTTTGTTATGGAGTCTTACTATTTTTGAACTTTTAATAAGTTTTTGTCATGTTGAAATCGAAGTCTTACTCTCAATACTGTGTATCTGTTGCCATACCGTCTGTGGGAGTAGGGAAAAGGTTCATAAAGTTTATCTTTGAGCCTGTAGTCAGTAACATATACCAAAATAGTTTTTACGATATTTTTATTATTAAATTGCATACATGTGTAATTTTCTGTATCTATTTACCAACTTAACGTATTTATTTAATTCAAATGTTGATGCCCTGCAATACAGCTCTGTCTAATTATTACATTTTAACATTTCAGCCAATGGTTTCAAATGGAATTGGTCCTCAGTTTAGACCACGGTCTGGGAAGCTAGCAAATAATCCACTTATCCCAGAGATAGAAGTTTATCTCCATCTTTTGCTTCTTATACACTTGATTGATCTTAAGAAATATGACAAGGTATAATATATTCTGATGTCAACTATGTTTTAATACTACATGTTTGTAACTTGTCCCTTTTTATTGGATAATTGTGATGTTTATATAAACTATATACATGGTTGTTGTCAGTTTAAGAAGTGTATACATGTATGTGTTAATTTTATCCCAAAATAGTTTTGTTTCTTTGCCAATCAAAAATGTTTTACATTTTGAATATTTAAAATTTAAATCTAGCAAAACACGATTAATTTTAGATACATAAAACAATAAAAATAAAATCAGGATCACTTCATCCTGATCTTTTCTTAGTGAACACGGGGCCTTGGGCTTACAGTTATTTCATGTGAGGAATTTGTGTAACTAGTATACAGGAGGTCAGTGGTTCCACTCAGTTGATTGCTTGAACCTGAAATAATGCTGGGAGGTTAAAACCAGCAAAAGAAAAAAAAATAACATCTCTTGAAATTGCATTCCTTTAACACAAATTTAAACTGTAAATAATGTTGTTGCATGAATTTATGTGTTTTGTGAGGCAAATAGCAGGGCTTGTCTATAAAAACTTTGTATAATGTTGTATGATAAATAAACTTTGTATTCAAATTAATCTTGGCAATCTTGGGTATAATAGAGCTCTTACTCGAAATCCATAAAGCACAAAATTATTACAAAATTATTATTAATTGGGAAATAAATCTGAAGAAGGTTATTTGAGCTGTGTCACGAAAAAACCAACATAATGGGTAGGCTGGTCTGGATCCATGCTGGTCGCAAACCCATCACGTTGGTTTTGTGGTGACACGCCTCATTTGTTTACAGGATTGTTTTTATATGCTCGTAAATTTCAGGCTGTTATCTGCTCGGAGAAATTGATGCAAAAATTAGTAAACCAGAATAGACGCACTTTAGACATATTAGCTGCAAGATGCTATTTCTACCATTCTAGAGCTTATGAGCTCACTAAACAGCTTGAGAAAGTTAGAGGGTAAGTTTTAAAGTTGTTTGCTAATCTATTTGGAATAATGTATACGTTGCCATAGTCACTGTCAATTTTCAGGAGTCCAATGGATGCAGATTTTGTAATTTTTGTACCATTTATACCATTTTAGGGTTAATATAGATTGAAAAAACAATATTAAAGTGAAAAAGAACAACACTGGTTTGACAACATGTAAAATTACATTCTACTTAGTCCCAGTTGTTAGACTTATGGATCAAATATTGTGAAGATATGTCCTGTTTTTATGCCACTCACATGTTGTGTTAATGTATTGCTAATATTTGGAATGGATATGCTTCAAACAACATAAAATATAGATTGTTATGAAATTGACACTATTTATTACAGGTTTTTTCACACAAGGTTACAGACATCTGTTCTGAGGTCAGATTACGATGGACAGGCCACTCTGCTTAACTTACTTCTTAGAAATTATCTACAATTTAACTTGATAGAGCAGGCCGATAAGTTAGTCACAAAATCTACTTTCCCGGAACATGCTACAAACAACGAGTGGGCAAGACATCTATACTATCTAGGTAAATTCAGTTACCATGATTCTTTTAATATAAGCCCTTTCCCTTCCCCAATTTTTCATTTGGTAAGGTTTTATATCAACTTAACATAGCCACAATGGTAACGATAAGTAGGTTGCAAGTTTTACAAAACAACTGAATAAACAACAACATAAATGTTAAATGTTTGGAGTATGAAACAATTATCGAAAATAATAGTATTTGTTTAAACTTATTTTATAATTTTCTAATTAGACTAGAAAAAAATATGGTAAATGTTTGAAATAAGTAGAAGATATTTTTTTTTAATCTTTAATGCAGTATACTAGTTGAAATTTGATTCTTTAGTATATTCTTATATATCTCTTTTATGTGGTTTACTAGAAAATATTAATTGTAAACATGTTGCATAATTTCAATTTTTTTTTTTATTTGTATTAAAGTGGTGTGTATAACTGTATCATATTTGTTCTAAACCACAGGTACAATCAAAGCTGCACAGTTGGAATATTCAGAGGCTCATAAACATCTGTTACAGGCATTAAGAAAGGCACCACAAAATGCTGCCATTGGTTTTAAGCAAACGGTAAATTTATTATTACCAACTTTCTTGTTTGTATCCACTTTCGCCCTCTTACTTCAATAGGGAGGACAGATTTGTAATGCAAGTGGTGCTAGTTCATTCTTTGGGGAGAAAAAATTTCTCTATGACAGTTGAAAGGAAAGTCTGTTAGATGGACCAGCCACTGAGATATAACTAAATATATGTTAGAATTTGTGTAAAAACTAGATGAACAAACAAATATTATGGCCTAACAAATATGTAAAGGTGCAAGTTTTTGAAAACCTTGCAGTTATTTAAATCTGTTAAACTTAAATGCTTGTTAAAATGCTTGTTAATTATCAAGTTCACAATGGGAATGCAAGGGTAACCCTGAAATTTTTGTTGCAATTTTTGTCTAATATTGAACTTTTAGTTTGACTTAAAACTTTTAACTGTTGGGTTTTAAAATTTGTATTGTTTAAATTTATTATTGACAATGAGTTAATATAAAATTCAGCCCAACTCCTCTGTTAAGTCTTTTTACAGATTTTGTAATATGCTCATGTCTTTGAATTTTGTTTTGTGAGTGTTTAGTGCACACAATTTTTGTGTCGCCTCTACGGAGTAGTGGCGACATATAGGGATCACTTCTCCGTCGTCTGTCTGTCCGTCTGTCTGTCCGTCCGTCACAAAACTTGTCCGGACTACTCCTCATAAACTACTGGTGCAATTTCATCCAAACTTTACAGGAATGATCAGTACCAAGTCTAGTTGTGCATATTGTCAGCATTTTCCGGTTCAATGATTTTTGTCAGAGTTATGGCCCTTTAATAATTTTTAATTTTAAAGTTTGTCCGGACTACTTCTCTTATACCACTAATGCAATTTCAATGAAACTTTACAGGATTGATCTGTAGCTCAAGTCCTTGCGCATATTGCACGGGTTTTCCGGTTGAATGATTTATGGCCCTTTGATAAAAAGGTTTCTTTTTCTGTGTGTTGCCAGATACACAAAAGCTTGTCCGGACTACTCCTCATAAACTACTGGTGCAATTTCATCCAAACTTTACAGGAATGATCAGTACCAAGTCTAGTTGTGCATATTGTCAGCATTTTTCCGGTTCAATGATTTTTGTTTGAGTTATGGCCCTTTAATAATTTTTATTTTTAAAGTTTGTCCACACTACTTCTCTTATACCACTTATGCAATTTCAATGAAACTTTACAGGATTGATCTGTAGCTCAAGTCCTTGCGCATATTGCACGGGTTTTCCGGTTGAATGATTTTGGCTGAGTTATGGCCCTTTGATAAAAAGGTGTTTTTTTTTCTGTGTGGTTTGCCAGATACGCAAAAGCTTTGTCCGGACTACTCCTCATAAACTACTGGTGCAATTTTATCTAAACTTTACAGGGATGATCAGTACAAAGTTGTTAGTCTAGTTGTGCACTGTCCGTCTGTCTGTCCGTCTGTCACAAAATTTGTCCCAACATGAAATTGGCCATCATGAGGCGACACATGTGATTACTGATCGCTCTTGTTAATTATAGCTAAAAACAGTTTAGTACTTGGTTAGTAGAAGCCAACCTTGCTGTATCATTAAGGCATAGATATGGCACTTATTTTTCATTATATGTCCGATTTGAAAGAAATTCAAGTTACAGTGTAGATATTGTGTTACAGGTTCAAAGGTTAGCTATTACAGTTGAGTTACTGTTAGGAGATATACCAGACAGGTCAACTTTCAGGATACCATCTATGAGGAGAACACTTGCACCATACTTTCAACTTACACAAGGTTTGTCTATTTAAGGCTTATTCATTTTCACAAGAGCTTCAATATGTCTATTGATCTGTAACCTTATCTTTTAGACAACTTAGAAAAGGGTTTTGGACAATACTCATACCATTTCATGCCTGAATGAACTGCATAAAGAGGGGTTTTCATGGCTGAGTGGTCAAGGTACATGTAGTTGGCGTCAAATTGATTGGCCTTTTACAGCTGTGAGTTTAAATCCCTCCAGGGACTTTGGATTCTCTCATGTGAGGAAGTTATGATATATCCAGTGGTATCTGGTGTCTTTCATCCACCAATAAAGTTTAAAGATGGCCACATTAACATAATAATGATGATGTGACTTAAAACTCAACAAAAACAATTATGTGTAAAGATGCATTCAAGATCAATGTCCAATCAGTCAAGGATGGAGGTTGCTGTATAAGTTTTTTTTTAAAAATTACCAGTAAATCAAGCTTCATGAATCAGAGTTCATACTTGCCTTAACAATAAGTTTGCTCCTGAAATGAACTTGAATAGGATGTAGCCATGAAAAAATGGGATAACTTGCAGGTCATAAAGAAATTTAAAGATATGAAAAAAATTATAAATAGATAAAGCTACATGTGACAGGGTTCATACTGGCCTTAAAATAAAAAGGCATTGCTCTTAAAAATCCTTAAGACGAATTCAGCCTTGAAATGAAATAACTTGTTATTTACAATATTTTTGAATCAGCCAAACAGACTGATATATCTTGACTTCTTGTATCCTTTCAGCTGTACGAACAGGTAACCTTCCTCGTTTCAATGAGGTGTTGTCTCAGTACGGGTCCAAGTTTCAGAGTGAAGATACATACACGTTGATTATACGATTACGACACAACGTGATCAAGACTGGTGTCAGAATGATCAGTCTGTCATACTCGAGGATCTCTCTAATGGATATCGCACAGAAACTTACACTAGACAGCCCCGAGGATGCTGAATACATTGTGGCCAAGGTAAAACTGTATTCCAGTGATCAGCTGAATGAAATATATCTGTTCTACAATATATTCGCCTAGTGGGCAGTTTGTTACCTAATACTGTTTTTTTAATGAATGTTTTTGGGAGGGATGGGGACGATTATATAGAATTTTATTACCCTTCCAGATTTTTTCGGCCTTTTTGATTGGATATTGATCACCCGAAAGAAATTGATATAACCGAGCCAGACGGGTAATATACACACTAAATTTCCGCGTTGGGTACCCAACGTTGTAAACAACATGCGCTGAAGTGATGCGTGTACGGTTCGATTTTACGCGGTGTAAATTCCGATTTAAAAGCATTTTTTAACTGTCAAATGATAAATATTTACCAAAGTAGAGTAATGATACATATTACCATCAGTATCGAAAACAAATATGACCTTGTGAAAACTTGATATTAATTACAAAAAAGTGCGTTCAATAGACTACTCCTTTTCTCTTGTTTACATTCGTTAGGTACGGGAAAAGTACGTCATGTATTTATGTGACGTCATGTTGTGACGAAGAGGTACCCTAAAGGGAATCTTATTTCGACGTTTCATTTGTTCCAAACAGTACTGATTTTTTTTAAAAAATCGTCTAAACTCGGCAGGGGAAGGGTAATAAAATTATTATTTTGGTTTTGGAGTGTTATATGTGGATATATTACATGCAAAGATAAAATATCACCCTCGCCTAACGGCTCGGGTGATATAAAATCTTAACAGGTAATTTATCCACATATATCACTCCAAAACCAAAATAACATAATATATATTGCTATTGTTTGTTAAAATATGTTTTTTGACAGGTTTATTTTAATGAAATTATTTATTATTATAAAAAACTGCTTTTACTAAGGTTTCATCATGTGACTTGTACAACATCTTGTGACTTGTACAATGCATGAAGTAAAGGTTTTAAACAGATTGGGCTTTTCTTTCTGTATTTCTTTTCTAAGGTGGATGTTACCGTATTACTTCCTTTATGTTAGTATGCCTAAACACTTAGTCAATATTATCATTAGACCAGATTATCAATTTAACTTGTTTTCATGAAATCAGGCTCAAATATCATCAATTTAATTTGTTTACATGAGTCTGGCTCAAATATCATCAATTTAATTTGTTTACATGAAATGAGGCTCAAATATCATCAATTTAATTTGTTTTCATGAAACTATGCACAAATATCATCAATTTAATTTGTTAACATGAAATCAGACTCAAATATCACCAATTTAATTTGTTAATATGAACTCGGGCTCAAATATCATCAATTTAATTTGTTTACATGAAATCAGACTCAAATATCATCAATTTAATTTGTTTACATGAAATCAGGCTCAAATATCATCAATTTAATTTGTTTACATGAAATCAGGCTCAAATATCATCAATTTGATTTGTTTACATGAAATCAGGCTCAAATATCATCAGTTTCATTTGTTTACATGAAATCAGGCTCAAATATCGTCAATTTAATTTATTTTCATGAGACATGTTCAAATTTGATGGTAATTTGTTGTTAAAAAAACTAAGATACAACTTCTCTTGATCATTTAATTTTCGTAAAACCAGGCTCACATTTTTTCATGGTACATAATTTTGTTGAAATCAGGAACAGCTTTTATCGTTAAGTTTTTTTTTTGATAACTAGGCAATTAGAGATGGTGTGATAGAGGCAACAATAGACCATGAGAAGGGATATGTTCAGTCAAGAGAGACCGTAGATGTGTATAAAACCAGGGAACCAATGGCTGCCTTCCATCAGAGAATTGCTTTCTGTTTAGATATTCATAACAATTCTGTGAAGGTAAGAATCAAGATGTATATTTGCCATAAATTTTTCTTAATATAAATTTAGCTGTCATGAAAGATAATTTGTATATTAGAAAGTTGATAAGGTTCTTCACTCATTTTAAGGTTGGTGTATGTTCTTGATAGAGATGTTATTAATGTTTCAGATAACCTTTTATCTCTTGTTTTAATTTTTGCTGATTACATTCAATGTACCTGTATACGTGCCGATTATCCACCAGTAATTTGTAACCACAGAAGGTAAAACTCATATCCCCCACTATCTTCGCTTTTCCCCACAGTTTAGAAAGGGGGGAAGCATGGTTACAAGTGACAGGTGCATTATTTTAAATTGATACTGGCATAATTGTTCATTAAATAGGATAAAGTTTTGGAACATTTCTGTTTTTGAGAGTTTTATTAAAGTATGTGAAAAAAGTTTGCACTTGAAAGAATTTCTTGATGTTTTTTTTTTCAGGCAATGCGTTTCCCACCCAAATCATACAACAAAGACCTTGAGTCTGCTGAAGAAAGGAGAGAAAGGGAGCAACAAGAACTTGAAAGTGCTAAAGAAATTGCTGATGAAGATTTTGATGGATTTCCTTAATATTGACTTTGAAAAATTTATAACTTATGAATGCTTTATTTTGATAAATATAACTGCAGGCTATAACTCGATTCGAAAGTGTCAATGATATCATATAGTACAGGCAGGATACAATAATATGCCTTAAACATGAGGTTTGTGTTTCTTGGCAAAAGAATTTCAATGCAGTTGAATGAAGTGAAATATGAAATGTTCGTTATAAGCAGGTTATTCATTAAGATATTAAATCTCATTGATTATTCCCTGTCCTGGCAAGTTTTATAGAATTTTTGTACACATTGAAATGTTTTGTTATAAAAAAATTTTAAGACAATTATTCTATTAATTGGAGCTTTCCAAATGAGCTTTTCATGAAATATTATAATTATAATACAATTGGCATATTGATTGTATAACTAAGGGATTTAAATACTAAAAGAGAAAATAAGTTTATCATGTTCTTATGTTGCACATATTGATACTAGTAAGTTTGTAATGAAAATATTTTGGCACTGTTGTTAGATAACTTAGATACAATAATAAGAAACAGCTGTGATTATGAAATCTTAAGATATTCATATGCATGGTGCATAAACACAATATTGTGCTATACTTTATAGTAAAATTACCGTAAAACAAGTGCTAAATATGTTGCACCAGGCAGTTTAATCGTTTCAGCTATTTTGTAAATGTACAATGTGCTATGATAGTGTTACGAATATTGATGTTTATTTGCATTTACAGTATGTTTGTTCATTGCGATGTGTATATATATTAAGTATATGTTCCTTCAGATGTATGTAAGTGAACATTTGAATGGGTGATTAAAACTTGTACCATTGATAAAATAACTGAAATAAAAGTTGCATACAGTTATATTTGTTCATTTTTGACGTAATAATTTTGGGTACAGTGCAAACACTGCAGAGTAATACCCTTCAGGACTTTGGTAGGCAAACATGGGTTGTTGCTGCGAGGTGTTGCTTTATAGAGGTGAATTTATTGTGGAGTCTTTACTTTGAAAAAAAGTAATACTGATGGTGTAAAAAGGTAACATTATTTTAACCTTACACTTGAGAGTTGACTGCCCTGCAGAGTTTAAAGTGATTTTTCATCTTATAAAAAGCCTTTCTCTGATGGATAGTTTCCTAAAAAAAAAAACGTGCAGTTCTCCCCAAAAACATGCTCTAGAATGTTTACTTCCTTCACTTTCAAATATGTTGTAAAATTGCAATCACTGATCTTGAGCAATTATTCTGCTGCCTTTATAAAAGTATCATCATGGATTTTTCCCTTGTGTAAATTTTGCTTGTGAGTGAGGAGGCTATCCAGCTGACAGATTCTGGCAAAAGCAATCTCCCGTTGTCAGTACAAAAGTGTTTACATAAATGACAATTGCACAGTGTATTTGTAAGGAGCTGAAAGAGAAAAGTGTGTTTCTGGTATAACATTAAACATACTTCCAGATGATAGTGGAATATGATCAGAAAATTAGCAACATAAGGAAGTATCATAATATGTAAGAGAGCACAAAAGTTGGAGGATGACTGTTGTGACTCCTGGCTAGGTCCACTTCATTAGTTATAACAGAAGAAAATCTGAAAATTCTAACTTAACAGTCAAAAAATTCCACTGTACCTAAGAATTATGTCAGTCATGAGGAAGAAATTGGAATGTAAATAAAAAATAAAGTTTATCAATAAATCATTCCTTCGTGAAATTCTATGACAGTCAAGTCAGGACATTGAGGAAGAGTTAAGTAAAGAGGTAGAGTACTTGACTCCTAATCTGGATATCAACTAAAAACATTTAAAATATGCAAAAAATTTTCTAACGAAAAATTTCTTAAACATATAGTAAATAATATTGAAGACATTGAATTTAATGAAGGTCTGGATAAAAAAATCCAACAATGCACTCATTTATCAACATATGTCTGCAAAAGTGAAAGAAAACCAAACATACTGTAGTAAGAAAAGTTATTGCAGATAGGGACAAGGCTTGTTAATGGTGCAAAAAAAACAAAAATGAGAATAAAGATCATCAAGGCAAGGCAACATTCACAGAACACAGACCCGACACAATCCAGTCACACCAGCAGAGCACCCAGAAGGAAGCAAACTATAAATTTGGAGAGGACACAAAGGCTGTGGAAGGATATTGAGGGGAGGGAAATGTAATAAGTAATATGATAAGAAATAAAAACAGTCAATTCACATTCATTAGCTTATTAAGATGCCCAAAATAGTTTAATGTGAAAGCCATCACTAATATTCATTTTTTAAAAAAGAATTTCTGACTATTTGAAAGATAAAAATATTTAGTGTTGTTTAACCTATTTCTAAAAAACCAAATTAAATAGTGGTTTATACCCTAAATTCCTAAGAAAGACAACTCTGCAGAAAAGAAAATGAAGAAATCTGTTGGGAACGAATTGAAACAGGTAGTATGCTATAAAATCTCAAAATTGAATAAAATTATTAAAATACAATATCAAAGACATTATCTGATGAAATGGCATATCAAAAAACCAATTTCTTAGAATTGTCTTGTCGCGAAAATATGTGATACAAATATAGTGTAAGTTTACTCGGATAAATAATTCGGATAAATATTGACATAGTGATTTTTTTTGCACAATAAAGCTGTTTTTCAATTTATCATACATCTGTCATGGATTTGACAGATATCAAGGACTATAGTCATCACCTGTTCATGACTAATTTTTTGGTAATAACATACTGCAATAGAAATCAATTTATATTCAAATTAGAAAATTACAATTAAGGTTTATAACAGTCTACATCACTTGTTTTACATGATAACAAATTTCACATTAATTTCCAGGTAGCAGGTATTTCCATTGCTAATTCATCCTAGTTGTTCCTTTTTAGCTCGACTATAGGAAGTATATGGAGAGCTGTCGCAGTCCTACTCGCCCGGCGTCCATATTTCTCAAATTAAAATTTGGTGCAGTAGAATATTTTTCACTATGACTTTTTCATTTCTTAAGGTATCAACTTCAAACTAATAATGTTCTTTAATTATCATCAACAACATCTTATGTGACAAGGTTCATAACACAAGCACCAATATTTTCAGATTTATCCTCCCTTGAACTTGGGATTTTTAAATTATTTCTTACTGTTACTTCGTTATTTCTTAAGGAATCAACTTCATACTTCAAATATATGTTATTTTTTACTATAACTTCTTTAGTTTTAAAGGTATCTTCCTCAAACTTCAAATACATATTCCTTAACATTAACCACATCTTATGTGACAAGGTTCATAATGCTTAAAGCAATATTTTCAGATTTATCTCCCCTTGAACTTGAATTTTCTGTAAGAAATATTATAACTTCTTTACTTTTAAAGGTATCTACTTCAAACTTCAAATATATATTTCTTTTCATTACACACATGTTGTGTGACAAGGTTCATAACTCTAGCGTGACTATTTCCAGAATTATTCCCCCTTGAACTTAGAATTTATGTTAACAAATGCTATATTTTTACTATAACTTCTTTTCATATGGATAAGAGTTATAAAATGCAAGCTCCTGTATTCCCATAATTATCTCCATTTAATTTTTGAACTTGGAATTCATTTGTAAATTGATTTTTTAGTATGGTATCTACTCTAGGTTAAGATAAATGATTGTTGTTCTTTGTCATTACTCACATCATGAATGACAATGTTCATAATCTAGCATCTTTTTTCAAGAGTAATTTCTTCTTTGAACTTATAATTTTACTTTAAAGACTTCAAATTCTTTTTGCTCTTATCATTTTTGTTTTTGAAGGAATTGACTTCAGATTTCAAATGGCTGTCTTTTCCATTAAGGCATAGAAATGTCTGTTTAACATTGACAGGATCATATGCATATAATGTTGTGCAAAAATATATAACATTTGAGTGCTTTCTTGAAACTGATACAGAAATATATTTATATCATAATTGATTTTTCTTTTGAACAAGAGCTGTCACAGAATACAGCGAAGCTTGACTAATTAAATACTGGACATAGAAAGAAGACAAAAGCCATTCTCAAACACAAAATAAGTTAGATAATAAATATTCGGTTCAAATTGTGTGTGTGCCTGAAACTATCAACATTTTCTAAATGTTATTATTTTTGTAAAAGGTAGAATAGTAATTAGGCTTGAATAGGTAACTACAGCTATATAACATTAACTTGATTTCAAACGAAAAAGGAAGATGATAACAATATTTACCCTGACATTAATTATAATGTAATTTTTAGCTCAAATTCAATTGTATATTTAGTACACATAATAGCATTGGCATCAGAGTGTGTTCACATTTTCGTTGAAGTTTTTGTGCATTAAAATATTTCGTACTATAATTTCTTTCTTTATATAGGGATTTACTTCAACTATTCGTTCCTTTTCATCACCCACAGCATATGTGACAAGATTCATAATTCTAGCACCCATATTTCCAAAATTATCTCCCCTCTTAAGAGTTTTGTCTTTCATTACTGTAATAAGTCAAGCATCCTTTGGCAGCTCTTCAAGGTCAAAACACTGACCAAGCCTTGAAGGTGTATATAACTAATATAGATTAACATATAATTACCCCCCCCCCCCCCTTTGAAAACTGGGAAAATCCTGCATAGTCCTTGTGTAAAATATCAAGCACTGAGAGCAGTCAAGCAGGCTGTCTGTCTAGCTCTTATTTATTTTTTTTTCCAGTTGAAATGACACACCTAATGGGAAATCAAATAAAGGGATCATCTATGGATAAAGATAAGACAGTTAAACCAGCAGCTGTTTCAGTAAAACCAGAAGTTGGTAGCAAACATTTGACAGGTTCCCTCAAACTTACTGAACATACTCCTGACCCTCATGCTAGTGACCATACCTCTTGCAAAGAAACTGATAAAGGAAATAAAGAACTTCAAGATACAAATCAAGGGAAATCTAAAGACAAATCAGTTGCTACTTTATCAATTAATGGTGATGAAGGTCAGAAAAAAATAGGATTGCCTTCTGGGGATGATGGATATAAAAATGAAAAGTTTCAGTCTGAAACATTTACAGATAAAGAGACCAAAAATCAAGACAATGAATGTGTGACTTTGAAAGGTGTGTCTAGTCCAAAGACTGTTCATGATGACCATGTAGAAACAGAATTAAGGTCTTTAGAAGAGAAAAGAGTACTAAAGCCAAGGCAAATATGCAAAAATGGTGAGATTTTGAATGGTAAATCAGAAACAAGTAAAAGAACAGCAGCTGGCTTAGAAGAAAGCAGTAAATCAAGTACTGTTGCTTTAAAAGTAGATGACAAGGAAGGAAAAGTTGACACAGATAAATTTACCCAGCATGTTAATAAGGTACATTCAATAGAGTCAGTCCATAATATTCCTTGTGAATATGATAACATAATACCTCGAGCAGTTGAACTTGAAAGTGTTGAAAATTTGAAGCTATTGATTGAGAGACTAAAACCTGAAGAAGTTAATTTGAGTGATAAACTTACAAGTATAACAAAGATAATTAGAGGGCAATCTGAGCATTCGGAGCTATTTATAGCAACATTGGTCAGACACGGGTTCACTCAGAAATTTGAAAGTTACCTTAATGTGAATGGTATCAGTGCAGTTTCAGACATAGAATCTTCCAAGTGTGACCATGGTAAAAAATACTGGCCGACTGTTAAACGTTTTCTCATGTTGCTTTGGATAGCCTGCGATCAAAGTGTGAACTTTTGTCAGCATACCCTTACCTCAGATATATTGCAAACATTACAAACTGATCTTAAAAGATTATGCCGTATGAAATACACTGATTCTGAAATTGAAACTTTCACCGTTAAAGCTATTCTTGGGATACTGCATAACATTTGCCGCCATGTCCCAAACGGAAAATGGAAACTGAGAAATGACGGTTTGGTATCAGTGGTGAGACTGTACCTCGATAGCGAAATTCCTATGGTCAGGTTGAAGTCCCTTGTGATATTGTCATACATTCTAAGCGAAGCAGAAAACGAAATGATTAATTCGGAGGATGACAATTTTATGTTTATTTTCAAAGTTTTAGGAGATGCCCTCCATTCAGTCAATCATAAGTCCAGTAAATATGGAATGGGTGTAGTAGAGGTCATGAAAGGTCTAAACAATCTTGCAATTAATGATGAAAATAAAATTCGTATTGTCAGGAATGGAGGTCTGCCATTGTTTCAGGAAATTTTAGAGGGAGGTAGTCTTGATGAAGTTAAGGTGACCATAACAACACTGTGGAGCTTGGCATTCCACCACTACAACAAAGTCAAGATGAGGGAAATGCCAAAGATTATGTCAAGTATGTACTTCCAATAATTATTTTAAATTGATTGATTTAAATGCCAAAAGTTGATTTAATTGCCTAAAATAGTAATTTATTTCTTATTATCTACTTGTATTAGACCTGTAGAGAGAGATATTAAAATTAAAAAGAACATGATTCTGTATACAATATCCAATGGTCATTATATATTATGATTTTTTAAATATAAGGGAGGTAAATTTGTAGGGAAATAAAAATAAAATGTAAAAAGTTATTTCCCTTTTCATTGTGACAATATCTGCAACACATGAACTTTATCAATGATGAAGGCTTTTTATACTAAAAAACCCCAAAAAACTTTGAATATTCGAGGAAAGAAAGTACAAGTATACTAAACATTAGGGTTGTGACCTTGCAGTTAAGGTGTCTTTCTCTTTAAACCTATAACCTGCTGGAACCAAAAGAGCGCATTAGTGCATTCTGACTAGCCTCAGTAGCCTGTTTACTGTCAGGTTTGATTCCTGGGTAACACCCTTTGGATTTTTCAGAGACACTTTCAGTGTTTCCTACCTTACTAGAGGTGCATTGGTAAGAAATCCAGGTTATCCTCGCATGTATCAGTGCTCTACACTGGGCATGTAAAAGAACCAAAAGGTCTATTCAATAAGTGCTAGGGACTGGTTCTGGGATTCCCTTGTAACTCATAGCTTTCTCTGAAGTGACTAGTCAATAGTCATGTCTACATCCCCGCGAGGGGTTTGACATTAATGGAAGAACGATAGATAAAACTCGGTTTCACCTGAGCACGGTAAAATTTGAGTGGTTCACCATATGACATGAAAATATGTTTGCAAAGTGACTGCCAGTATCAATGTAATGAAAAGTGAACAGAAATTTATTTAACTTTATTTCTAACCTATTTACAATAAAATAGAAAACAACTAAAGTGTATTGACCTTGTTATATAATAATGTTATGTAATATGTTGTATTAACAGAGTTATATGAGTTCTAATATCTTGTATTTACAGAGTTATATGAGTTCCAATATCTTGTATTTGCAGAGTTATATGAGTTCCAATATCTTGTATTTGCAGAGTTATATGAGTTCCAATATATTGTATTTGCAGAGATATATGAGTTCCAATATCTTGTATTTGCAGAGTTATATTAGTTCCAATATCTTGTATTTACAGAGTTATATGAGTTCAGTGTCTTGTATTTGCAGAGTTATATGAGTTCCAAATGAGTTCCAGTGTCTTGTATTTGCAGTTTTATGAGTTCCAATATCCTGTATTTACAGAGTTATATGAGTTCCAATATCTTGTATCGCAGAGTTATATGAGTTCTAATATCTTGTATTTGCAGAATTATATGATTTCCAATATCTTGTATTTGCAGGGTTATATGAGTTCCAATATCTTGTATTTCTAGAGTTATACGAGTTCTAATATCTTGTATTTGCAGAGTTATATGAGTTCCAGCACTGCAGAGATGAAGAGATATGCCATGCAGCAAGAGGGACATTCTGGGAACTTGAGAATATATCCAAGTCATCTATAGGATCCTCTGTTTCTTCATCATTATCAGCAGGTTCATATATACAATATATATCTTTACCACTTATTGTCAGCAGGTTCATATATACAATATATAACTTAACCACTTACTGTCATCAAGTTCATATATACAATGTAGAACTTAACCACTTAGTGTCAGCAGGTTCATATATACAATATACAACTTTACCACTTATTGTCAGCAGGTTCATATATACAATATATAACTTTAGCACTTATTATCAGTAGGTTCATATATGCAATATTTAACTTAACCACTTATTGTCAGCAGGTTCATATATTCAATATATAGCTTAAACACTTATTGTGTGCAGGTTCATATATACAATACATGTATATAATTTAATTAACCACTTATTGTTGCCAGGCTCATATATACAAGATATAGCTTAACCACTTACTGTCATCATGTTCATATATACAATATATAACTTAACCACTTATTGTCTGCAGGTTTTAGAAGAAATAAAAAAATATTGTTTAAACCAAAAGTAAAAACTTACAAAAAATAAAAAGAAATAAAAAATATATGATAGCATGTTTAAAGCTCAATGGGCCTTTAAATAAATGAATGATGATAAGAATGATTGTAAATATGTTTGTAGATAAGGATCCAAGCCAGCCTCACATAATGATAAGTTACCAGTGGGACTCCCAGGCTGTTATGATGAAGGTCAAGGACAGGTTAAGGCAGGCAGGATATAAAGTCTGGATGGATATAGAACACATGAGTGAGTTATTTCATGTACCATACATGTATGGAAATATTCTTTCAAAATATGTTTACAACATAGTATAATCTTATAATATGGCACATTTGTTACATCATTTTTCATTGGATAATGGTGATGGTTATATAGTTTTATATAAATGGCTGCTGTCAAGTTGTGGAGAAATCTCACTTTTTTTCTCTAAAAAAAAGGAAGTTTGGTGTATTGTAAATTTGGTATAAAGATTCTTAACAGGTTATATGGCAGTGTTTAAATGATTGTTTGCAATATAACCCTATCCTAGTGGCTAGAGTTATATTACAAACAATCGTTTTTATATGGGGTCATATAACTGGTCAAAATTCTTAATACAGTCTACTCCACTTATAACGAGATCAGTTTTAACAAGGTACCGCTTACAACGTACATTCTACTGTGTCCTGGCCTTTTTCCTTCTATTTTCCTTTCATTTTTTATCGTTTATAACGAGATCGGTTTTAGCGAGATATTGGTTACAACGTACATAATTTCGCCGTCCCATGCGTATTTTTCAGAATTTTAACGAGGTCACTTCATTTGCACTTATTCTGCATCAGTCCCGACAATCTCGTTGTATCCGGAGTGCACTGTATTAACTAAATAATATAAACTTTACAGAACCTGTGAGAGACAAAGATTTGTATTGTAACTGAGAAGCGTTGCTCTATAGTATTTCAATATATTTTGAAAATTACTTAGCTGTTGTTTTAAAGAGGTTTTTGCTTTGCAGAGGTTTCACTGTGTTAACTTTATTGTTTATGATAATGACAAAGCTACATATATGCCTCCATTGAAGGGCCATACCAGCCTCCTCTCCTGTCTTACCAGATTTTATCTCACTGACTGCATAATTTTAGTATTTTGATGTTAATATCTCGTATACTGATGAAAATCGTACAAAAATAAAATTGTTGGAAAAAGTCGGACCATCGCAGTGTATGAATTTAGAAGCAGTAATTGAAGGGAAAGGCTACTAAATGCAGTATAATAAACAAGCAAAATGTTTTAATCTAGACTTGTCATGCCCTGAGTTTTCATGTATAGATGGTTATTTCTGAAGTTCTAGAACTGAAATGTTAATATTGAGTTTTGAAATATATTGAGTATGCTCAGATTGCAAATTCTTGAGAAAATTCATTAGCACAATATTATATATTACTATACAGAAAATAATAAAATGTTAATGAACTTTTCCTATCCTATATTCAACCATTCCTCTTGCAATCATAATAGGAATGCCTGCCATAGTAATGATTATATTGAAACATTTTAGCATAAATTTTTAATATATTTCTCCAAATGTCTAAGGATATTAACATGTAACATTTATGATATTATGACATAAAAGGAAAGTGAAATACCAGTCCAGGTCATATATAGTGTCATTGATCTTCTAATTGAGAATGATTCCTCGATCATTGCACTGTTATTTGTTCATGCATGGACAACAATTTTTGCATACAAATGTAACAACTTTTACGAATCTTTATAAATCAGTATGCCTCCAGAAAAATTGCTAATTTTCATGAAAAATTTTGAAAATGTATTTTTGGAAGTATTATGTTGTGAAGTGAACAAAAACAGTAATCTACACATATAACTGTCTGATGCGTTTTCCACTCGCCCATACATGTACCATCAGCTCCAATCAATTTTAACCAAGCCCCTCTATTGATTTGATAAGAAGTCTTATGTTAGCATCCAATTTTTTCCTCATACAATACACCTCTTTTACGACTCATTTCCAATCTAGCCAAAGTTTACATGATTTTAACTTCAGCTGGGTCAACTTTAGAAGCTATGGCTCTAGCTGTCGAGAAAGCTGCAGTTGTGTTAGTATGCATGTCACAGAAATACAAGGACAGCCCAAACTGTAGAACAGGTATTTGTTTACATATTTACTGTTGAGTTAGTAAATACAAATTTGGCCCTAAATATAGGACAGGTTCTTATTTAGACATATTCTGTTATGTTTTTATAGTATGCATGTTACAAAAATACAAGAACAGCCCTTAATGAAAGACAGGTTCTTGTTTTGACATTTACTATTGTGTTAGTACAAATGTATACATGTCTTAGAAATAGAATAGCCCTAATTGTAGGACAGATTCTTATAAAGACATTTACTGTTGTGTTAATAATAAATATACATGTCAAAGAAATACAAGGACAGCCCTAACAGGTTCTTACTTTGTTAGTGGGCATATCATAGAAATACAAGTTTGTTGACGGCTGCTCTATCTTTCACATCTTTAAATTTACATGCATGATTCTACAAGAGTTTGATATTGGAACATGTTCTCTATATACAGTACAGGTAAAATCATTACAAAATATACAAATAATGATTCAGTGAAAGTTACAGATAAGGGGAATGTGACCAGGCTTACAATAAATATAATGTTTGTGTTGTAAACAAATTAATACAAAATGTCACCAGCGTCTTTCCTTCTGAAAATACTCATCTGAGTGTTCTTTGTCCGCGAATTATGTCACGGTATACCATACCAGGCCTAGGAAACATTCACCCTTTCACTCCACTCTCCACAGAATTGTCCAGGAGTCTGCCATTCTGATCTTTCTAGTGATTTTTTAGCTCGACTATTCGAAGAATATGAGAGCTATTGTAGTCGCCCCGGCGTCGGCGTCAGCGTCCGCGTCGGCGTCTGCGTTGGTTAAAGTTTTTTGTAAAGTCATATATCTCAATTATTACTTGAGATATTCAATTGAAACTTACAATACTTATTTATAGTAACAAGCTACATCAGATTGACAAGTTGGGTAACTCTGCCTACAATATTGACAGAATTATGCCCCTTTTTAACTTAGAAATTTTGGTTAAAGTTTTTTTAAAGTCAAATATCTCAATTATTACTCGAGATATTCAATTGAAACTTACAATACTTATTTATAGTAACAAGCTACATCAGATTGACAAGTTGGATAACTCTGCCTACAATATTGATAGAATTATGCCCCTTTTTAACTTAGAAATTTTGGTTAAAGTTTTTTGTAAAGTCAAATATCTCAATTATTACTTGAGATATTCAATTGAAACTTACAATACTTATTTATAGAAACAATGTACATCAGATTGACAAGTTGGATAACTCTGCCTACAATATTGACAGAATTATGCCCCTTTTTAACTTAGAAATTTTGGTTAAAGTTTTTTGTAAAGTCAAATATCTCAATTATTACTTGAGATATTCAATTGAAACTTACAATACTTATTTATAGTAACAAGCTACATCAGATTGACAAGTCGGATAACTCTGCCTACAATATTGACAGAATTATGCCCCTTTTTAACTTAGAAATTTTGGTTAAAGTTTTTTGTAAAGTCAAATATCTCAATTATTGCTTGAGATATTCAATTGAAATTTAAAATACTTTTAGTAACAATGTACATCAGTTTGCAAAATTGCATAACTCTGCCTGCAATATTTGCAGAATTATTTGCCCCTTTGAAACTTAGAAATTTTGGTTAAAGGTCTTCAAATATATTTACTTGAAACTTTACACATGCACTTAGGGTCATAATTGGAGGGTCATAATTGTATGTCACTGACCAAGTTCCATAACTCTATCTTGCATTAAGGCTGATTCATATCCCCTTTTCTACTTAGTCTCTTGGTTAATGTTTACATGCAAGTTTTACATATCTCAATAACTATTAAAGATATTTATTTAAAACTTCACATATGCATTTAGGGTCATAATTGTAGGTCACTGACAAAGATCCATAATTCTATCTTGCATTTAGGCTGATTTTTCTCCCCTTTTTCAACTTAGAAATTCATGGTAAAGTTTTGCTTGTAAGCTGTTACCTCAATAACTACCTAAGGTTTTGTGCCTTTTTGGGACAATTTTATGCATTCATAATAATAAAGCAGTTATTTACTTGATAAAACATCTTAATAACAAGCCTTTGTACCTTTTCTGTCAAATTTTGATTCATAGGTAATTAGTATTATTATACTCAATAAAACACCCTCGTGACATTACCTTCCGAATAGTCAAGCCAATACTGTATAATTAGACTCTCTCTAAGGCCTATAACATGAATTTATAAAAAAAAAATTAGCCTTTTTGTGAACTTAAAAAATTTAACATTATCAAGGCTCTTTTACTATCAAGCACTTAGAATAGTCGAGCGTGCTGTCCTACCGACAGCTCTTGTTTATTGTATTAATTTAGAAATCACACTATCTGATCTTAGTACAACATGAGTATGTACAGTAAATTAATATATTTATCAGTTGGAAAGTATTTTTATGCCCCCGCCATGTAATGGCCGGGCATATAGTGTTACCCTGTTCCGTCCTTCCGTCCTTCCGTCCTTCCGTCATTCCGTCCTTCTGTCATTCTGTCATTCTGTCATCATCAGTTTCCGTTCATTATCTTAGTAACGGTTGCACACATTCAACTCAAATTTGACATATGGATATGTCATGAGAAAATACAGGTCAAGTTCGAATTTGGTCATGGTTCGATGATTTTTGGCAGAGTTATGCCCCTTTTACTTTAAAATAATATGAAATTTTCAGTTTCCGTTCATTATCTCCCCAACGGTACAACACATTCAACTCAAACTTAACATATGAATATGTCATGAGAAAATACAGGTCAAGTTTGAATTTGGTCATGGTTCGATGATTTTTGGCAGAGTTATGCCCCTTTTACTTTGAAAATAATATGAAATTTTCAGTTTCTGTTTATTATCTCCCCAACGGTACAACACATTCAACTCAAACTTGACATATGGATACGTCAACGGAATGTGCAGGTCAAGTTCAATTTGGTCATGGTTCAATGATTTTTGGCAGAGTTATGCCCCTTTCACTTTGAAAATAATATGAAATTTTCAGTTTCTGTTTATTATCTCCCCAACGGTACAACACATTCAACTCAAATTTGACATATGGATATGTTTTTGGAATGTCCAAGCCAAGTTCGAATTTGGTCATGGTTCAATGATTTGTGGCAGAGTAATGCCCCTTTCACTTTGAAAATAATATGCAATTTACAGTTTCTGTTCATTATCTACCCAACAGTGTTACATACTCAACTCAAATTTGACATATAGATATGTCAAAGGAATGGGCAGGTCAAGTTGGAATTTGGTCATGGTTTGATGATTTTTTGGCAGAGTTATGTCCCTTTCACTTTGAAAATAATATAGATACATCTTAGGAATAAGCAGTTTAAGTTTGAATTTGGTCGTGGTTCAATGATTTTGGACAAACTTATCTTTCCTGAATGTTGGAAAAATTTTGAAACACATACTTTTGTGGAAATGTATGTAGCCATTATTTTGGCTACAAATATGCAATATGCTATTTTCAAAAGGTAAAGACTGAATAATTTCAGTGCCTTGAACATTGTATGAAAATGGTTTAAAAATTGAAAAGTTTTAAGGGCTTTGAACTTAAAATAAAAAAAATAATTTGTGCAAACAAATTTGGAACTAAATATTATAACATCTGAAATTTTGGCTGCATGCGGGGGCATCCGTGGCATGATGACACATTTCTAGTTTTTTTATGGAACACAGGTTAGCACATAAATTTAACAAAATCAGGAAAAGTGAAACTAATAATTACTGTGTATATTGATTTATAGGAAATGCCCAATGTCCCAGATAAGTTAAATGAAATAGTATATGCAAGACCTATGGCATCATTCAGTTAGTTGGTCAGAATTGAATATGTGAGCCCGATGCAGACATCAAACATGCAGGACAGCTCTCAAACTGTTTATACCTTCGATCCCTCTGGAGCCCGTTTGCTATTAACATCACTAAAAGTCCGGTTATTATCCCACTTTCTTCTTTGCGCTATCCTGACTGTGACCTTGTATTCGTCATCTTAATATGGCGTTTGCCAGCAAGTCGATTTATTTCCCATTGGTTACGTAATATAATGATTCCCTCCCATCAATTTGCTAATTATGCCCTACTTAAAAATTGAGATACATGTATTTAATATTTTAAACAGAAAATATTTATCAGTTAGATGTATTAAATGAAATAATACAAAATGTATTTATAAATTTGTATGTACTATTTCCAGAGGCAGAGTATGTGTATAGATTAAGAAAAGACTTTGTACCGTTGCGCCTTCAGAGGGAATATATACCTGATGGTTGGCTAGGAATCCTTGTTGGAACACGGTTATACTTTGACATATATTCCGAGGACCAGCTGGATGTCCAGGTTCCAAGACTGGTTAAAGAGTTACGTGATAGAGGAAAAATTAGTCCAACACTAGATCAGCCTGATCATTCTAGATGTAAGTTTGACTAAATTCAACAAAATTAGTTGCCATGGAGATTAATACATTGTACATTACCTGCAGTCTTTTTGTAATTCCGAATTTCTGTAAAGCTGACTATATCATATGATAATTCATTATAATGCATCTAATATATGCTGACTTTCTGTAATTCTGATTTATAAATATTTATGTATATTATTTTTGAATGACTAACCCAGTGCCACAGATTTGGAGCTACATTTGTATATATTTGTGATTTGAAATATTTCAACATGAAAAGAAGGGATTTGAAAAATTTCACCGAAATTTGTGTACCATTTGATTTTGGTCTGAACTAATATCTTGTGCCCAAATTTTTGCATCATTCCCTCCCCAAAAACAAATTGATTTTTTATTAATTAACAATATGATTTTTAATAAGCTATTAGTATTCCATCTCAGTCTTGTTTTATTTTTCTGGTCTTTTTTGATAATTTAGTTTAATCTAATACCTTTAGTGTTGAGGATTAAACTGAAGTATGGAGGCTTGAGAGATGTCTCATTGTTCAATTTATAATGTTATTATTATTACATTATTATTTCATTTTAAAGTGCCAATAGTGCCACAAAGGATGACATCGAGGGAGGCTGTTCCGATACTTCACCACCCAGCAAGTCCTACTGTCTCGAGTTGGACTCCTATTGATGTTAAACATTGGCTTACATCTATTGGTCTCTGTGACTTTGTACAGAAGTAAGACAATTTTTTTTTATTTATCTAGCTTATGTAATGAAATGAAAAATAATGTTATATTTGTTTTTATTGAAGAAAACAACAAACAGTGATGAGAAAAATACTTATGTCAATACCATAGAATATATTAAAATCATTTCACGATCATGAAGAGTATACACTGTTGTTATATATTTTTTCTGTATTTCCAGTTTTGATGATATTGATGGGCTTCTAATTCTGGAATTACAGAAGATTCAGGAGTCTGCACCGGAATATTTTCACACCATTCTACGCAACGATTTCAGCCTTACAGTAACAGAAGCCCTCAAATTGTCCAGACATCTCAGGCAGTTATCTTAACATATGTCTGGTGTTTTTGTATACTTCAACATAGGTTGTGTTAAGAAAAAGGTCTATATGTTCTAAAGCCACTCATTCATTTTGCTGACGATTTGAACAATTTCCTGCAAAAAATTGATAATATGTAGGTAAGGGATTAGTTACATCAAAGCATATTTTTATGCTCTTAGAGAGTTTTTGTTAGACAATTTAGATGCCAATTTGTTCTTTCCTTCCTGTCTTTAATACTGCTTCCCTCCATTCAGTTCTTCCACCCTCACATATGAATGCTTATATTGTTATGAAAACAATAAAGGTTATGTTAAGGTTATATTTATAATTCTAAGAATGGCAGTAAATTTTTTAAAAAAATTAAAAGAACAATGGAGAGATAAATAGGATAATCAGTGTATCATCTGTTTGTGTGGAAGTCAGTCCCTCACATTTGCTGACCATTTCTCATGACACCTTCATTTATTGACTTAAATACAGTTATAAAGTAAATGTGTTGGTAACTTCGAACAGTCAATTGAACTCAATGTTTTAGTTGGGTTTTAGATTGATTGGACCAAGGTTAAAATTACTCAGACTCAACAGATATTGTATAAATTTTCCTGACAGTAATGGCTTTGTTCAGAAGGACATTGTGGAGCATCCTCTTGTGTTATGGATGCTTTTAATGTAAAGTGTTCTGGCTTCAAGGTTATAAAACTTTTTCTTAGATCTGTTTCGATTCTCAAGATTTTTATTGGTCATTGCCTATCCTGAGTGTCAAAGTTTCTGACCAATGAAATTCTTGAGATCTGAGTTTAAGAGAAGAACTTTTCTTTATAGCGTCCACCCTAATTTTTTGGCTATATGATTATCTTTGTTTATTCCGTTTAATATTTGTGTACGGGTTGATCCTTGATGTAAAATAGAGAATTTATATGAAACTTATTGAAATATGAATAATATTGGACTAGCGTATATAATTCTGAGGACTGACAGTAGAGACAGGTCAATTTCATGAATTCAGAGACTTATTTCCTGACTTGGCAAAGTACCCAACATATAAGGGATGGGCAGGGTTGAGCCTGTCAGTCCTCAGCATTATATACACTAGTATGTATATATTTCAATAAATGTCATATAACTTTCCTATTGGAGTACATGTATATACATGCTCAGAACTAACAGGAGAGATTTAGAGACCGCCAAGTCAGGTTAGCAGTAGACTCACTAAAGTTTCAAAAAACAATTTCAATATGCAGTGTCTATAAGTATTTATCATACCCAACTATAACTAGAAATACATGAGATATATGTCACAATACTATAAAGTATACAGTATGTAAAAATATCTATCTTATCAAATGATTGTTTGTTTCTGCTACATGTATAAAAATAGCACAAATTTACACTCTTTTCAGCTCACCTGTCACAAAGTGACATGGTGAGCTTTTGTGATCGTCCACCCATCGTCTGTCTGTCCATAAAGTTTTACTTTACATGAAATTCTTTTCATAAACCGCTAAGCCAATTTCATGCAAACTTCACAGGAATGTTCCTTTGGTGGTCACCTTTAAAAATTGTTCAAAGAATTTAAGTCCATGCAAAACTCTTGTTGCCATGGCAACCAAAAGAAGAAAAAAAAACTTAAAATATCTCTTTTAAGAAATGTAAAGAGCTAGAGATTAGATATTTGGCATGAAACATCTTCTAGTGAGTGTCTACCAAGTTTGTTAAAAAAAGCCCTTGGATCAAAATTGGTCCCGTGCCAAGGGATGGTCATTGATTTTCCTTACATGTATAGAGACAAACTAAAAAATCTTTTCTTAAAAAACCCAAATACCTAGAGCATAGATATAAAGCATGAAACATCTTCAAATGGGTGTCTACCAAGTTGTTCAAATAAAAGCCCCAGGGTCAAATTGACCCTGCCCAAATTACAAAAATGTAACAAGTATTCTGACTCAGGTGAGTGATTTGGCCATCTTGTTAGTTATTGTGAAACAACAGATGTGTTGGTAGATAAAATAGCATCTGCAAATGCTGTATTATTAGTTATAGGCTTATTATGATACTTTTTGAAATTACACTCACTTGACCAGCCAACAGTACGTAAAATGGTTGCTAGGGGCAACCTCAATTTGTTTACAATTGATACACCTGATGATCTACAGCTATGAGGTCCGAAAATAGTGCATCTTTCATAACTACTTTCCTATTGTATCTTTTTTTACCTTTCTATTTTGCCTACAGAGCAGTGTCTGTATTTCTTAGATTCTTTGTATCATTGAGATGAAGTTTGAGCAGGCTTGTTATACATAATCCTTTGTATGTGTATTCTTTAAACATAAAGTTTTTATTTGTTTGGGTCGTCAGTAGCGAAATTTCAGACTCTAATGCTGTTAATTGCAATTGCCGAAAGCAGTCCGCATTTTTGAAGCGGTTACTTCCCTTTATATTTACTCTAACGCCGAAAAATCTAGGGGGAGATCAATGCGTAAAGATGGTCAAATGACAGGCGCATTAATTTTCAAGCAAAATAATTCCCGAATGGTCGAAGATTTCTAATATTTTTTATTCTTTATAGATAAACATGCTTATAGTAAGCTCCATGATTATTTACATCTGTGTTAAACAACAGTTAGCGTCGCTACAAGCCCTAATTTAGAATAATATGGTTTTCTTCAGGCCGTTAACATATAAATTCACCGTGACCGAGGGGTTTGCCCGCTCGCTTAGGAAGCCAGAGGTCTGGAGTTCAAATCCCAGTTACGGCAACTCATTTTTTTTTTTCAAATTGTTTAAGTCAAGTAAACATTGGATTGAATATCAGTGTTGCAATTAGTCTTATAGCCAATTTACTACAATTAAAACGCTGGAAAGCATTGGTGGCACTATACAAAAACAAATTGGTTAATAATCTCACAACCTTCACCTTTCTGACATTCTGAGACCCAAACAAATTCGGCGCCTTCTGTGCTTTGATTTAAATAGATTGTTTCAAAAGATCACCAAATTTTATTTTTACATGATGTATAGAAAACTCTATGTTCTTTATATCTATGCAATGCAAAGATTGTAATCTTTGTCCTGATAGAAGGCGCAACAACATAACAACAGTTAATGTCAGCTGTTTCAAATTATTTACACTAGCAGAAGCAATATAACCAAGTAACTTTGAAGCATCCACATACCTAGGCAGAAAATAAACACAACTCCACAAGGAAATGTTGACCAGCATTTTCTCCTGACAAAATACATGAACTTATACTGAACTAGCTGTACACAAAGCACTGTAACAAAGTCCTTTCTTATAAAGCATTGACAGAAATTCAAAAATATTATTTACATTTGGTAAAATGGGATTAATGTCCTTTTCCACACAAAACACATTCATTTCTGGGAATAACTCCTATATTGCTAGATTGTTGTATTTCTCCACGAATACCGCATCATCTGATAGTCCATGATCTTTAAGCCAGAGATACGGAACACAGTTATATGAAGTTTTTTTACTGGTTGCCGGGTAATGTTAGTAGATCTTCCTGTACAGACATGTTAATGTCATTGGGAACCACACTTGCGTTGGCCATACAGGTGCAACCAAAACAGATTCCGCTTCTTCTTGTTGTATTTTCTGTAGAGCTTGACTGATACAAGCAAAAGGAAGAAATGATAAGTTCAAATTATGAGCCAATGATTGTAAAAATGCATCTACAGCTATTGTATTAGGGTCTTCCCTCCACGAATAGTACTGAGACACTTGACAATTTATTCAGGATTCCCATAAAGCTTACAAATCATTTGAAATACATGTTTGTTGAGCATCCATTCCGTATCTAAATTAAAACCCCGTGACACTCTGAATCTGTAGATACATTATTTGAACCTTTTATATGTTCACACGAGAGCCAGATCTCTCTTTCAATAGCAAACAACAAATTTAACGTGTTGACGTATATATATATATATATATATATATATATATATATATATATATATATATATATATATATATATATATATATAAAAAGAAGTTCGATTCCTTGTGTGGATCTCATGTATAAAAAAAGTATGTTTTGGGAAATGCAGAGTACAAAGTTCTTTAATTTTTTATACGTTTATTTCTGTTAGCGCTTTCAAATGTTTCTACATATCTTCAGACAGTAACGTATAATATAAACATAACAAATATAACAATGACGTAACGTTATAAAAGTGCGGGAAACGTAAAAATACGACGTTGCGCTGGAAATGAGATATTCTTTTACCTTCTATATAAGAAGTATGAAATTGCTACAAAAATACATAGGGTAAATATTCTATAAAGGGAGGTAATAAATAAGTATTAAAATTCAAAACATTGACTAATTATAGAAGTAGATACAACGTTTGCATTACCTATAAATACTTTTTAATATTAGTGAGCTAAACGAGTAAAAATATGTCAGAAAATGTATTACTTGAAACCATGTGGAAATGGAAAAATATTTACTTATATAGATTTAAAGATCTTGCATGAACCGTTATATAGACTAAATAAAGGGAGGTAATAAATATGCTTTAAAATATATATAATATTTCATAGACCCTTGTATATCGATGCAGATGACTGTCACTGTATTATCAGATGTTATTCGTATGTGCTTATTGCGCATTTCTTTGCATAATGATTGAATTGCCAGCAGAACAGCCTTAAGTTCAAGAAAATTGATATGATTTGTATGCTCTCTTTCATCCCATTGGCCACCTGTTTATATGCCATTCATAACACTACCCCACCACTCTTTGCTTGTATCTTTAACAATCACAGTATAAGGCTTTGTGCTATTCATTCATATTTCACATGGGAACAGATTAGATATCCACCATTGAATATCGCTTTTACACTCTTCATTCAAATGGCCAGTTGCACCAAAGTTCCTTTTATTGACTGACCATCAAAGTCTCATTTTTTTCATAATCTCTAGTCGTTTGTAATAGATAGCAGAATGTTGCACTGCATGAGCGCATGCCACTTATTTTACTATTACTTAAGATAATTCTCTAATGGTACAAGACGTCATTTGTAATACCAAAGTACAAAGGGCTATTATTTTATCACATTTTTCGTGGGATACACTAACTGTTATTGTGATGCTATTTAGCACAAATCCAAGAAATTCAATTATTTGTGTAGGAATGAAACAGCTGTTGCTTATGTGAATGGTCGTTACTAAACTTTTAAACAAGGAAACTGTCTGATAAACATTTTCCTCACATTCTTCTTATGTATTTCCATTAAACAGACTGTCATCAATGTAAAATACATTTAAAAATGATATATTTCTAAGTTGAGAGGAAATATATTTTAAAGTTTCGTAAAGTATCGAGGTCCTAAGTTCAAACCATCCGGGAGGCAATTTAAGTATACTGATAACATTAACCTCATTGAAAAAGAATCTGAGATATTTTCTGTATGATTTTTTTTCACACTGGCACTGTAATATGTGTCCTTTAAATCACAACTAGCAAAGAAAGACCCTGGTTTTATCAATCTTATAACTGACTGCAATGTTTCCATATGTTTCCATTTTGACATGCTTTGAGCCGATAATGTTTTTTAATCATTTTAAATAATGGTGCCATCTTTTTTATATCTTATAGAAAGGTTTGAAAAAAACCCACAGAAACCCCGACATCTTTGCTTAATTGTGTATCAGAAACCTTTTCAATCACACAAAAGTACATTGAATTCTGTTTGAATCAGCAAACATCCTTCAGAATTGAATGATCAATGATTAGGAATAACGACTTGACACAGTAATTCAAGAGAAGGTATTTCTATTCCTTTAACAGTATCAATAATCAAAGGGTCAGATGAAATGTTTTCCCAAGATGAAACAAAATTGCATATTTTACAAGCTATAAATTAATTCGGGAAATTCTTAATGAAAAATCTCATTAAAATGCTCACATTAGGTTCTTCACAAATCAATGTATTTGGATTATTTATTTCAACCCTTTTCCCTCTTTTACTTTTCTTGTACTTTGACTTTTGGAAACGATGTTTGCCCATGAAAGGCTTTTTCATACAAGGGTTGTTTTCCCTTTTTTGGAGTTTGAGTAAGTAAGGGTGTCTGCGATGCTTGTTGAAACCTCTTTTAGCCTTATTTGTAAGTTTTGACGAAACAGTCTTTGTGTCATTTATCTCTTATTTTCTAACCGAGTTCATCCCAAAATATCCACTTAGTGGATGGTTCATTGTCTGCGCTGCACAA